AAATGAATGAATCCCTCTTCAAAAATGAACCCCTTTGTTTAATTTTGCCCCCTTCTCTGTTTTTCTGATTCATTTCATGATGAATTTTGGTCTCTGGAAGTTGTTATACTCCCAATTCACTTGATATCAAATTAAATTCCAAAATTCTTCTTGCAAAGAAAAACGTTGATAAATGTTCTTGTTATAGATTGTGTCCTCCTATATGTACCGATGATTTTGTGGAACAATCAAGAACTGAAATTGAAAAAAATGATTGGGCGGAGGTGGGGTGATTCTGGGTGTGGCAAGGAGAAAGAATAAAAAACAAAAGATTTTTTATTATTTTTTTAATTGTATTAAAATCATAATAGAAAGAAATAAAAAAGAAAAAAGATTTTATTTTTGGATTCTGGAATGAGAATGTAGAAGTCCGTTTTTGGTTCCTCTTTTGCTTATTTCATTTTTGGTTTTTTAATTTTTTTTGCTGGTCAAATAGTGGGTCCCACAAACAGTATATAAATGAATGTAATAAGAGAATTTGACGGAATGTGGCATTCTCTCGTTAGTTTTAGAAAATTTCTGTTAAATAAACTAAAATTGATGAGAAAAACATTTGAGAGGATTTTTTTTATCAATTAAAAATTCATGGTAACTTGATCTTACTATCTTCAAAAGTTGGGGGACGAAAAGTGCATCCGATCCTATATATATATATATATATATATATATATACTTTCTCTATTTTAGATAAATAGTTTATGCTATTAAGCCAAAATAATATAATAAAATAAATTATTTTTTAGAACAGAGAGAGTAATAGTACTCGGTTGTCTATGCCAAATATTGATAACTCACTCTAACTATTAATTGAATGTTTCCTTTCAATAAATGGAGTTTGATATGGACTGAAACCTTTGTTAACAATCACTTAGCCACACCAAGAACAATTTTTAGTAGAATAAGATGCGAAAGGCCATTATTTGTTCTGTCAACTGTTTTTCTATGATTACTTGAATTGTTAATTGGAACCAATCAAATGATAAATGTTAAAATGTTTTTAAAATTGCATGATACAATTATGTACGTAGTGCTTAAAATAAGTCAATTTTTTCCCGTTGTCCTACATGCCTATCTGGAATTAGGTAAGCTGTACAAATCATGACACAGTTTTTGTTTGATCGACTAGGATTCATATTGGTCATTTACTCATATCAGGTTTTTGTCTCTTCTAACAAGTAAATAGTGGTGCTAATTATAATTAATGGCAATCAGGACAAAATTTCGAATTTTTAATTTTATATATATATATATATTAATTCCTATATACCTTAAAAAAATGAAATGATGTGATATCTTACCTTTGTTTGATACTTTCACATTTATCTGGAACCAATCAAAACATAAAAAATGGTCCGTTGATGTTGTTCAAGGCATGCCAGCCCTGTGAATTAATCTTTTTCAACACCGTAAATTTCACTAGAATGAGTAAATTTACGTTCACCGTAACGAAAACAAGTCATGGTGGAAAGTAACCGATAATCTTGGGTGGTCATTTATAGGATCAAAAGTTCAAAATGGATGATACAGAAATTCTTTTTGGTTTGACATTTATAATCATTTTTTTTTGTTGCCAAAATTACACTCCCAGTAAACCCACTTAAATGTGGGTAAAATTTTCCTTACAAACTTTCTTAGTGGGAATTGAATACGAGAATACGGTAAGCAAAGCATTTACAACCATTTGAAACTTATTTTCTTTAGATGATGTATTCCGTCTATCACTGAAAAAAAAAATTCAATACGTACTATTTTTTTAAAAGAGAAATTACATATTATTTACTTTTAAAAATATAAAGTTGGGGTTGGACATTTGGAAATTTTTATAAAAAAATAAAAAATGAAAAAAAAGCGCGAGAAACATACGTTTAAAACTTTAAATTTGATGCCACAATATCATATTCAAGATGCATTTTCTCGATTTTATTTGACGAGTCCAAACTGAACCCTAGGCCTATCGGGCATAGGATTAGGTTACTTAGAGATTAAGCCACCGTCTAAACCTATTCCGCTAGGGTTTCAGGAAACAGGTAACACCACTTCTATATGAAGAGGTGGTACCTCTCCCATAATATATATCTTCTATCTATCTTCTATCTCTCTTTTACCCACGCATACAACCTCTCTCTATTCTCCTTATTCTCTTATTGACTTAAGCATCGGAGAGTCTATCGTCGAGAGACACCCGAGGCTCTGTCTTGCAGGTTTAAGGCCGTCCGCCGCCACCTAGATTATCGTCGCCGCCCGTCCTAAGGCACCGTGCAGATCCATGCTTCGTCAAGTGGCACGCCCGGTGGGACCGATTTGTTTGGTCTTCACAACCAAATAAATTTTCTTGTTAGAAGCGATATTGATTGGTGTTTTGGGATGACACAGATAAGCTCTCAAGTCCTTTGAAGCAAGGGACGATCTCGAAGATTGGAATTTCGAGAGATACATCTTCTCGAAGGGGCAACCATCCCTCGAACACCTTACTACTACTCGAAGTGTTCGAGAAGATATATCTCGACTTTTATCTACTCTACTATTACCTTCTCATAAATCGAGATAACACATTCTCGAATGATCAATTTATCTCGAGACTGGGGTACTTCTAAAATCTTTTTTGAGATATGATCAATTTATCTCCTGCTGATATCATTATCATACTACTATCATGTCACGATATCTTTTTAAGCACGATCAAAGTAATATTTCGAGGTACCAACCCTTTAGGGAAAATTCCCATCACCCTGCAATGAGAAAAATCATCTTGGGTTGCCTTCAACGAGGAAAACGTACTCGGGGCACAAACTGGAAAACATCCTAGGGGCAAAGAACTTGAGAGATCATCCTAACATCCTCTGCTTGAACGGATATTCCTTAGGAACATCTTATTACTACATGTCATTATTATCTTATATTGCATCTCGATGATCTACACACTCGCAGTCCACCGGGCAAACAAGGATACTCGCGGTCCATCGCGCAAACAAGGAACTCTCTAACATAAAATCTCTTCGAGGCATTCTATCTCTCTTTATCTCATATAGGTGACACCCGAGAACGAAAGGGTTCGAGAACTGGGGTAACACTACGAAACTTGAGAAGACATCAACACTCATAGCAACCCATATTCTTCTCATCAAGTCTCGAGAATATGGTTTGCTAGGGGCACTTGACGAGTCTAAACTGAACCCAGGGCTTATTGGGCATAGGATTAGGTTACTTGGAGATTAAGCCACTGCCTAAATCTATTCGGCTAGGGTTTCAGGAAACAAGTAACACTAAAGAGGTGGTACCTCTCCCATAATATATATCTTCTACTTATCTTCTACCTCTCTTTTATTCACGCACACCACCTCTCTCTATTCTCTTTATTCTCTTATTGACTTAAGTATCGGAGGGTCTACCCTCGGAAGACTCTCGAGGCTCTGTCTTGCAGGTTTAAGACTGTCCGCCGCCACCTAGATCACCGTCGCCGCCCGTTCTAAAACACTGTGCAGATCCATGCTTCGTTGTTATTCATGTAAAAGAGGATCACGCAGTGTAAGTGTGTAACACATAAAATTTACCCCTAAGAAAACACACTATTGGATGAAAATTTATTTACACAAGTAAATAACCTCCTTAAAACTGTTAACCAAAAAATTGAAGCATGTAAGAGAATACGTCATGCGACATTCTTAACAACCATCTATTTGGCATGATTTGATGGAAATAAAAAATTATAATCCTCCCAATTATAGAGATGGAATTCATCGAGTTTCAGATCTCGAAATTCCTTGCAACTTTCGCCTTCACAAATCAATTCAAGAATAAATTTAATCCATAGGCAAGAACTGAACCAAATAATCATGTCAACTGTTGTCTTTTTCTGAGTGAAAAATTGGTTTGGTTGATTCAGTACGAACTCAACCATTCTTAAAATATATTAGCTTATCAGGCACCCCCCTTTCCTTCTTCTATTAATTTACCTGAAATTAGGTTACATGTTAATTTCAAAGACAACAACATCACTAATATTTAAATGGCAACAGCACGCCACAATCCATAACAAACGATGTTGTGTTGAAAAATGACTTTTCATATAGTCGCTCTTGATTAGTCATTTAGCTGGATCCATACAGTAGTTTATGTTTCAATAACAATATTTTAATAACAGAATCTATACGGTGGTCATGAGTAGATTTACAAAGAGGTATTAAAATCTCATTAATTCATCCCAACAAGGGATGTTTCAGCCTTTTCTCTCCTTCATCGATCTAGGAAATGGAGTAGATTGTTCACCCTATCAATTTCCCCTTTCAGGTCAATTGGGTAACCCTTTCCCCTTTGATTTCCAAAAAATAAAAATTTTAAAATGAAAAAAAAAAATAGAAATTTTGTAAATGAGATAATTAGAAGAAAACAAAGGTTAAAGGAGTAACAAATTTAAATGTCAAAGTTAAGGGACTAAGTGGTATGATTTACTGTAGCTATTTTGAGCCAAACTCGTGAACAGAAAATTTGATCATTTCAGTTCTTCAAGTTTTCAGTGAAAACACCATTCATCATTGTTTACACAAGCCAGCCTTGCCAATAGTTTTGACATTTTGGAACCATGACATTGGGCAGAGCAATCATCATCAGGATTGTTTATAAGAAAAAAAAAAGCACTATGTCTTTAATAGTTCTATTTGCAATTCTGTCTTATTTCAACAACTAGGATTTTAAAATTGGATGAATGGCGTTCTAATGATAATTTACAACAAAATTCATTAGTTATGACTTGGTGCAGGCGCTAACGTTCACATCTCTCATTTCATTTCTTTAATCAATCTCTTCTTTTTCTAGTCAACTTAAATGCTCATCAAGAACTCAATCTGCAAAAACAGTGCTAGAGTTCATAGCTATAAATAAGTTCCAGTAATTCATCTTCTTCCTGCTCATCACTGAAAATTGGTATACCTTAAGTGTATAGATACATTCAGTCTAATCATAAAATGAGTTGCCGAACTTTCAGTTCAGAAAAAAGTGAGAAAAGATGGGTTGATCAGCTAAACAAGAATTTCATCATTTATGTTGACAATCCCCCAACCATATTCCATGTCCCTAAGCCCGTCCGCGACACGAATCCAGACGCCTTCACCCCTCAGAAGATAGGCATTGGCGCATATCATCATTTTCGCATCGATAAAAGAAGGCTTGCTGCGGTGAAGAAGTTCTTGAAGCCAGAACAGTTCAACAGCTTCAAGAGCCTGATTGTGGACAAGGTAGCAGAGCAGCTCGATGCAGAGGTTCGCGCGTGCTACAACCAGTACTTGGACATCGATGGCGATACTTTGGCGTGGATCATGGCGATTGATGGCATTTATTTGCTTCATCTGCTTAAATCATATTCGGCGAAAAAGAGCATTGGAATTGAAGACGGGATTTTAGCGCAGGACATCCTGATGGTGGAAAATCAGATGCCCTGCATTGTGCTGAAACAAATCAGGAAGGCTTTATGGCCGACATCACCTGAAGCCGCGGCGAAAGATAAAGACGCGATCAGGGACGAGGAAACAACCAAAAAGGAATGTGACTTGGAGCTGTTTTCCCAAATGTATGCCTTCTGTAAAGCGCATTCCCCGCTTGAGCTCACGGAAAATGTGCGTTTTGTTGACGATACATCCAACCCTCATCTTCTTCATTACATGTATTCACTGATCGTGAAAAATTGGTTCACTGGAGAGATGAGTCAGAACCAGAGAGGTTTTGACGATGATCCTGAAGACGAAGTGACTCCTTTTATCGGAGACATGAACAACAACTCTGCCTGGATGATGGATATGAACATGAATATGAATGGTTTTCTCGACCAACTCGAATCCTCTGGAGAGGCGATCGAGAATGGTTTGGAAGAGGTTGCTGGCAGTGCTACACAGCTCGCGAGTGTAGCGGCTGGAATATTCCGGCTAAAGGCGTTCATGTTGCTAGCCAATTTACCGGTTAAGCAATTCGCCGATCTCTTCAAGAAGGGATATCAGAAGAAAAACTATTTGCTGGAGGAAATCCAAATTCCATCAGCTTCTGAAATCCATGAAGTTTGCAAAATTGAGTTCAAAGTCTGGTCCAATTCAGGGATTGCGGTCCATTACAATGACAAAGAGCGGGTACTCTACCTCCCCGTGATTACCCTGAATGCTGATTCAGAAGTGATCTTAAGAAATTTGGTTGCGTACGAAGCGCTTTCAGGATCAAGTTGCCATTTGATTTCGGGCTATGTGGATTTCATGTGTGGGATAATTGATACACCTAAAGATGCTGAATTGCTCAAGAAAAAGGGTATCATAAATTCCAATCTGAAGAATGAAGAAATCGCTCGAATGTTCAACGGGATCGCGAAATCCACTTGTATGGATGCTGACATTGAAGGGACTGTTGAGAAATTGAAGAGCATAGATGACAACGTTTTCAGTGTCAAAGCCTGGAGATTTGTGAAGGCTCATTTTGTTCCTTCCAAGACTGTTGTCAAATGCTTCCTGGCCACTCTGATGGTTCTGCTCCTGACTCTGCAAGCGTTCTGTGAGATTTATGGATGCAATGCTCGTTCCAATTATGGGAAGATGATCAGTTCATTCCGCTGATTCATTGGTTTTTCTTCCTTTTCAATTTGTTTCATATGTAACCTTCATTTGTGAAACACCATGTGTCTGCTTCAATCACTCAAATTTGCATCCTTCCTCATTGCCAAATTAATGTTTCAAATGAAATAAAATGAAGCTGTTTGCCGTTTTTATCATAACCTATATAAAGGGTCGGTTTATAAATCATTTTTTTGCGTTTCAGTTTGTATTTATATTGTCTGTATAGACAAAAGTCAACTAAAACTTCTCTTCATATAAGTTATACTCTCTCTGTCTCAAAATTATTGTCCAGTTTAAGATTTCACTTTTAGTATAATTTAAACTAGAAATGAAAACTCAAACTGGACAATAATTATGGGACGGAGGGAGTATAAGTTATATCCACCATTACTTTCCGTCTTTCTCTTTGCCATTTCTTTAATTTGGAATCACGATTTGCAACACATGATGACCATAATGCATACAGCTAAGACTCACTATATGAGCAAATTTTACCTGGAAGAATCAAAACACGAGAAAACAATTGAAAATAATTGATTAGCACCAAGGGGCAGCAAAAGGAGAGAATATACAATGACTAAGTGCTAAGTTTGCGGATCATGCCATGAGATGGTCCCAACTCCCAAGTCCTAACTATAATATAATACGTATTAATTTCATCCATTTTCAGATCATTATTTCTTTAATATATGTACAATACATATTATTACACCCCCGTTAACCGTCTATGGATTCCCAGTAAGAACAAGGCAGAGAATGTCTCGATCCAACACTCACAACTTACAAACAGAAACCGTGCATAAATGTAAAAGGCAAGTAGGCAACAGAATTTACGGGTAAAAACTCAACCTCGTATTATAAACTTGCAATGCAAGGAAATACATCAAGACTTGCACAGCACGATTCCCAAATCTCTCATATGGGTTGCTGGCTAAGCAAAATCCGAGATATATACATGGGACAGCAGTTATAACTGCCTAAGGAATACAGGAAACATGGATACAAAGCCAGCATACAAAAAGGTAATCGTTGGTAACCGCCCGGGTCACCCTTACCCAAGAAAGCTCGGTCACGTTCTTTGCCAGCCACGCTGAAAACCCGGGACTGCACCCAGCAACAGTCCAGTTAGCCGTGTTCCGAGATTTTACTACCCGGTTCCACCCGTTCTCGCAAAGTCCGCGTCACCTGACCGAACTCCCACAAAGTCCCAGCCTTTCTCGAGATTCCACATGCCGGTTTCCAAAACTCGGTAACTAGCAAGCCAATGCCACAAAATCCCGCAATACCGTTCTGTTTCAGCCCAACTCAAGAGCCAACCCGACAAAACACGGGACCAGCACCACCCGGCACTTGATTTCCCGTATCACATGCATGCCGGCTGCGTGTGAAATGCAGACTAAGGATTTAGGGGTCTAACACATATGTTAATGCAAGACAGTAAAAAAATAAATAAATAAAAGAGGTAATGTTATAAAATTAATGCTAGACTACTAATACGAAACTAAGCATAAGAACAAAGAGGAGAGACAAGAGAGTAGAAAGAGATAAGAGACTTGTATTCAGATGTATTTTGAAGGATGAATGAGCTCCCTATTTATACAAGAAGTAAGGGATCAAACTGTGGGAAATGAATCACCTATCATTAATGCTAAATATTACAAAATCACATCTCATTGATTGTCAATAGAATATTACATGTTAATTATGAAAATTCAATCAAATCAAATCAAATATTTTATAACACTCCCCCTTTGAATGTCCATCTTTGTGGAACAATGTCTCGTTAAAACCTTACTAGGAAAAACCCTTTGGGATAAAACCCTAGTGAAAGAAAAAGAGTACACTTCCAAATGTGATGCTGCCTCATTAAAAACCTTGTCAGGAAAACCCATTGGGACAAAATCTCGATCAAGGGAAAAAGAGTACAGCGTGGGTTACTCCCCCTGTTAAGTACGTTACTTGTAATCTTCTCATTGCATGCCAAGCTATTGACCAGGTTCATGATTGTTTAAGTCAATAATAGATAGATTACTTCGACTTCTCATGTAGACGGTTGTCTTTATATACTTGTATAATCTTGAGTGTTTTATAATAATGGAGATGCATGACCATCATATCTTGAAGGTATCAATATACACCATCCAAGTCTTGACTAATTGATAAGATAAACCGAAACTTTATATGGTACTTCAGGACCAAATCGGTCTACATCATTAATAGAAAGTCAAGAAGAGTGATTTGTATGCACATCAAGATTTTAATCAAGTGTGCTCAACGAGTGTTGAATATACAAAGGTCAAACTATTTAGACCAATATTTACTCAAGATCTTTCATTACCCTTGCTTTAGGCAAGTAGCAACTTTTTGAACTTTCTTAGAAGTGTTTAAAACTCTGATATAACTATTCGGGAGTTTTACTTATATTCAGACTATTCGAACTTAATGATAAGTTTCGATAATATTTAGCCTTATGAAACTCTACAAGAGTTCAGTGAAACAAAATTGTAATGTACATATGGCTTATGAATACTCACTCTAGTATTAGTTATCATCCTATCATTCAAATATGATCATAAAAACAGATAGAAAATCATGTTACCAACAAACATAACATATCTAGATCAAAACGAACATAGCATATCTATTATATTTAAAATTATGAACCTAAATTTCTAGACACATAAAGATATTATAACTTGCGCAAGTCCTTTTAATTAATTTCTTGAGAATTGGGATCATGTCCCTTTATTTTTAATCCCTCGAGGATTTCATACAGACCTCATTATTAAGTATCATGTATTAAGTGATCACTATAATCAAGAGACGCATTTCTTGTCTTCATTTGTTACCAGATTAGCAAATAACAGAAGACTTTTGTTTTCATCCATCATAAGATAAACCAGACTTTGGGAAAAACTTGTGCAACAAAGAGGTTGCTCGATAATCTTTTGCACAATCACCCGCCAAAATCTAGCCCGTATATCACTTGCCAAACTTATAGTTCGCAAGCAATTACACATCGTCAAGTGTGTTTGCGTCTTTTCATTTGTTATGGCCAATAAGTTTAATGTCTACATCTACAACAGACTTCATTTCATGATCCTCATTTTCATTTATTTTACTGTTGCAGCATAAGCAATTTTCATCGTTGAATTATAATCACTAGTATTTGTCATCTCTATAGATTTAAACCTTGTCATTTACGAGGATTTTTATCATTTGGAATTGATGGTTCTACCACTCATTAAATGGACATTCAACTAACAAATAGTGGTAGGTAGTCCTTCAGGGACATATTATCAAATTCTAAGTTTTAAAAACCTTTTATATAAGATATACTTATACATTCGGTCAGGTAAACATCTGGTCTTAAACATTATCTCTTGAACTTCAGGTTCATATCATCGAGGATCATAATGAGATAATTACATTGTCCATCTGATTTTATAAATAGGCTGTTTTAACTTCTCCCCCTCATGTTAGGATAACTAACTTGCTAAAATGACGATTAACCAATCGAGTAGTTAATAAATCTCCCTTTCGGAGTAACTAACTCGTCAAACTAATACGATCAGTCCATCAAGTAGTTAATCCAACATCAATAATCTCAAACATTAGCGATTCAATATTCAACATATATTTCTGACCTCTTCTAGAGGTTCCATCATTGTATGCATTGAGGTGGAATAATTATAATATAGATTGCACATGTAATCTTTGAAGATTAATATGTATGGTTTCTGACCGAAAACCACTGTTGGGGAGAATATCTGCAATGACCTGTTTGATCTTATGCATATAATTGGTGCCTTTTGTGTTTCAACACTTCCTCAACTATACATGAGATAATTACTTTAATTGCACACATGCAATAGACGATTCTACTAGACCGCTTCATTATTGCTCTTATAGGCAATCAATGTTCAACTTCTATCATTCTGTTATTGAGTCATATACTCTCCACAATTGTCAAATCAAAATTCTCGTAAGAGCAGAACATGAAAATATGCAAGTTATCAATTTAACTCCATAATAAAATTTCTGCAAACTTCAGGTTGCAAATTAACGAGAATCATACATGTGGTTATCTCATTGACATATCGATTGATATTCTAATTCGTTGGAAGAAACTCTTGGTTCTCCAAATTTAATGCATATAAACTTTCTTGTTTCGTCTTGAAACCAGAATGGCTTAAGTAGTTATGCCAAATTATAAAATTTCTCTTCTGGAGAAAAATAGTGAATTAATTATTCAAATATACCAGAACAATTTCGCTCCACATGAGCGTTTACTCTGACAGAGTATTTTTTATTCAATTATTCATTCTACCATAGTGTTCTTGCTCTTTTGAAAGCAAAGTGTATCGATACGCTGCTGGAGACAATAATAAATTTTCAAATTCAAAATAGTTGTGTTGGTAGAGCAATTTACATCCTTCTTTGATACCTTGGAGAATATAATGTATCTTAATGCAGTTTCTCCTTCTAACATCATCTTACTCTTTCAGGAGCAAAGTTTGTTTACTATTGCTCTTCCAGAGGCAATGATGAGTTATTATATTTTCTCTTCAGGAGCATTTATTTGTTTTCACTCTCCGGAGTAATTATACTCTACGGAAGTTTTCATCTATCTTTGCAGAATAATTCAATGGCATATGCTCTACTGGAACTTTTAATTGATTTCGTGTTGATCATTGACTAACATCCTCTTTAGGGCGCAAAATTCACAACCCACAGAGCTAATATGAGTTGCACTATGTGCAAAGCATACTTTTGCCATTAATAAATTTAGATCTTGTTTTCTTTGAAACATGTAGATAGAAATATCAATTAAATAGTATCATTACTATGGTGGCCAAAAGACCACAACACCTTCAAGGTGTTTGACATATTGGACATTTTCATCTCTAAATTTTAAATCACCTTCAGAGTGTTTGACAAAGATCGAATTATGATTTGTTAATTCATTGTTGACAAGACTAATGAATTTGTCTGTTTTCAATAATATATCAAACATATTAATAAGATAATTGTGGGTATACATAACATGTGAACCCAATGGTCTTCTATGCCAGAACGATTGCATTTGCAATATACTACTTTTA